AGACCTCCTAGGACCCTGAGGTCTCACCAGTGCAAGGCCACCCGAACACCAGGGCTGGGCAAACACCTGGACGGATGGCCTGGACGGGTGCAAGCTCTGTGTGGACTCCCTGAGTCCAAGGGCCAGCCTCAGCCATGCCCTGGGGCTCCAGGCAGGTTCTGGGTTCTCCCTGCTGTGAGACTCTTTCTAGAAATAAGGAGATCCCAGGAAAACTCGCCAAGCGGTGCTGGGTAAACTGAGGCCAGCAGAGGGAGGAGAACGCTGCTCATCTGTGGGAGGCACCCAGCACCCCTTTTCATCGCCGGGACAGGGCCGACGCCAGAGGAACGACGTGGCACCGACAGCACCGGCAGGTGCTGAGGCTCCCGGTTCATGCCAGGCGCTGCGTGTGCACCACAGCTCGTGAGCATCAGCTCCTCATGCCCCCCAACGCCCCGCAGCTGGGTTTCCTGCCACCCCCGCCATGCAAAGGAGGAAGCGGGAGCGCAGGCAGGTTTGGAGGAAAGGGGAGAGATGTGCAAACGCTGCCACCCAGCCCGGTGCACTCGGATGCAGCCAGGACCGAAGTGCTCTCTGAGTGCGCAAGAGGCTGCCAGAGCCGCTGCTCTCGGAGGCTGGCAGGCATAGGGCACTCAGGAAGGGCCATTAATCACGCCGCAGCCCTCCGGAGCCCCCGCCGCTCCATCTGTATCCCACCTGATGCCCTGCCTGGGTCCTCCCACCCTCCTGCCCGGCCCCCCAACCACCCACTCAGCTGCGAAGGAGCTGATAAGATGCCCCACTTTCCCCTCCGGCCATTCTGCTGCTCAGCATGGAAAGTGCCAGCAGGGTGCCTCCCACACCCTGGCCAGCGACTGACGGTGGGCGGGGGGGGGGGACGATACACTGGGCAGGGCAGCCTCATGGGCCTGTGGGACTGTCCCCTCAGCCACAGCCCCAGGGCGTGGTCCTCCTGCCCCCAGCCAACCCCTCCTGGGTCGAGGCAGCAGGAACGCCCTTCTCCTCGGGGCGCCGTGACATCTGCCAGCCCAGCCTGGCGAGTCTTAGCTCCATGTCTCCCCAGATGGACTCACAGACCTCGTGGCCACCCGAGGGGCCCAGGGAAATGAGCAAAAGCAGCAAAAGAAACGCAGAGGTGACCCAGGCTGCTGCTGCTCTGAGTCGGAACTCGTGTGCCTAGTCACCTGTGTACCGAGACCGGCAACGTGGGGGCAGGAACACCCGTGGGACTGCACAGTCCTGCCGACATCAAGAGGGGGTCACACAGAACGAGGCCGCTGCCAGAAATGCAACCCAGACCACAGACAAGCAGGCCCCGGGCAGCCGCGTCACTCAGCCAGTCAGCATCGGCACTGCCAGCCCCGGAACCCTTCGACGACCCCACTCCCTGGCCAGCCCTGGCGTCAGACACAAGCCCGAGGGTGAGAGGAAGGAGACTGGAGATGCTTCTGGGGGTGCCGGAGGCTGCAGGGTTTCCCTGTGAGCCTGCCCAGGTCCCCAGACCTTGCTCTCAGAAAGGGGCTCCCTGCTGTGACGTCCTGCGAGCAAGCGAGGGAGTGAGGGGTGGGTGAACCACCCGCACACCTGGACGTGACCGCCCCTTGACACCTGCTCTGACCTTGGCCTGACAGCCACTGCCCGGGAGAGCAGCCACCGTCCTCCCCCCTCTAGGGGGACAGAGAGCAGACTCCCCGACTCATCACAATAAACTGCCAAGCCAGCAGTCACCACGGGAAGCTGAGCCTGGGGCACCGGGCCTGCCCCCGCCCTTCCTCCGTGAGCTCCCGCCTGCTCCAGCTCTGACAGTGAGGGGCGGGCGGCGGAGGAGGAAGGAAGCGGTGGTCAGGGCATCCGCCTTCCTGGAAGGGCGGCCCGCAGCCCGGCGCGATTCCAGCCAGGCTCTCTCTTCCCGGCCGCTAATGGGTCTCCGAGCCGTGAGGCAGCCCAGCCAAGGCGCCCCTGACACAGAGGTCAGGGTTTCAAGGGAACAGGCATCCACTCAGCCGACACTCCGGGCTCCCGTGGCGCCAGCAGGCCCTCTCATCCGGCCACCCGAGCCTCGCTGGAGCCAGGTGGCGTCCCCCGTGCGGGGCACGGCAGACCAGAGCGAAGGTGACCAGGCCGCCAGGTCTCTGGCTCGGGCCAGCCAGGAACCTCCACTCACCGGCGTTGACGATGGCGTCCACCTCCAGCTTGGTGATGTCGCCGCGGAACAGGGAGATCTTCTCATTGAGGTGCTTGTCCTTTTTGTACTTGGGCTCCTCCACCTTCACGGTCAACCCTGGAACAAGCAGAGCCTGAGAGAGCGGGTCACTGCAGAGTGACCCGCCAGTGCCCACGGGCCAGGCGCCCAAACAGCGCCCCTCCACTTCCAGAGGCAGCTGGCCGGGGGGGACTGAAAACCCTGGTGATGGCAGCCCACGACTAAGCGCCTACTATGTGCAGCACACATCCAGTCTTGAATCTTTATGGCAATGCTGTGCAGTATTAGCAGCGCCCTCCCCATTCCACAGATGTGGAATTGAGGCCTAGGTGGGTTAAGTGACTTGCCCAGGTTACCAGTTACCAGGGCTACAGTGTGCGGGGCCTGGGCGCTCACCAGCACACACCCCGCGAGCCACGCCACCACAGCCACAAATCCCGGCTCAACAGCCAGGTGATGGCGGGTCTGGGCACAGCCTCCCAAGGATGTCATGGGGATAAAAACCAAACCCGCCTCAGGCTGTGCTACTAATTAAATGCGGTGACGCATGCACAGTGCCCCGCACACAGCAAGCACTCAGCACACGCTGCTGCCACTCTTCCTGGCCTCGTCGGGAAGATTCTCCCGAGGTGTGGTCGCAGGGGCCACCCCCAGCAGGCCTACCTTTCGCCGTCTCCTTCCAGGTGGGGACCTTCTTCAGCCGGATGAAGTCCTGGCAGAAGTAGTGCTCCTCCCGCTGCTTGTCACTCAGGCCCTTCAGAAACGCTGCGGGGCGGGGCGGGCAGGAAGGACAGTCAAGGCTGGCAGGGAGGGTGGCAGACCTGGGGGCTTCCCCACCCCCACCCCCACGGTCTCGGACTCTCGTCACGCCCAGGATGAAAACCAGCCCTGGGAGTCCCTTCTTCCCACAGGCTCCACCTGGGTGTCCGGGTCTGGAGGCCCCTGGAACATCCTGCCCTGCCCTCTTTGTTCAGGAGGGGAAACTGAGGCCCAAGGAGGATATCCCTCCAGCACCACAGACCAGAGTTCAGAAATCAACTCGGCCACTTTCCAGCTGCGCCCACAGCTCTGGGCCCCTAATTTCTTCATGTACAGAGTGGGGATTAAGACGCCTCTTGCAGAGTCATTTCAAGCTTACACATGCTCAGGCCAAGCAGGTTGGTGACAATGAATCAATTATATTATCAGTCAGTTACATCATCCATTGATTACATTATCGGTCCATTATATGATCAATCAGTTACATGATCAATCAGTTACATCATCAGCGGGTCACATTACCAATCAGTTACATGATCCATCAGATATCATCATCGTCATTAGGTGTAGGCTCAGGACACCGGGAGCCAAGACAGCCTTCCTCCTCAAAGAGCCACAGAGCCAAGCAGCCTGCTGCCCGTTACAGCAGCCCCCCAGCACCGGCTGAGAGCTCCCCCCACCCCACAGGTGCCTGCTGGGTCGCCCAGGCCAGCTCCCCTGCGGCGGCACCAGGCAGAGGAGCCCAGAGGAGCCCAGAGTACCCCTCAGAAGCAGCCAGCTCTCCTGAGCCCTGGTCCAGGCTCGTGGCTTGTGAGCTCCCCCTGCTGGCCTGAGGCCACCCGGTACCCAGGTGCTCAGCCCAGCCTCACTGCCCTGGACCACACACTCCCCAGCTGGAGCAGTCTCCCCTGACCATGGGGGGGTTGGGGGACAATAACCAGCAAAGGTCGCAGACAAGGGACTCAAAAAGCACCAGAAAGTGTGCAGAGGTGGGAGGGCCTTAGAGCAGCGGTTCTCAACCTTGGCTGCACATTAGAATCACCTGGGAATCCTTTTAAAATCCTGATTTCTGGGCCTCATCCTCCGGAAATTGTTTCTTTGTTATGGGGTGGGGCCACAACATTAGTAACAAAGAAACAGAATTTCCGGAGGATGAGGCCCAGAAATCAGGATTTAAAAAAGATTCCCAGGTGATTCTAATGTGCAGCCAAGGTTGAGAACCACTGCTTTAGAGGAAGTGGTGGGAGAGAAGGGGGTGCCCCCGCGGAGCCTTCTGGGGAGATGGCTGCAAGGGGCAGGTATTCAAGAGACAGGTTGGCCCCTGGGGTGCCCTTTTCCTGCTAAAGTCACTAGGCGCCTCCAAGCCTCGGCTCCTCACGGACGCAGATCCCCAGGTTGTGGCCCGGCTCAACTCTATGGCAGGGCGATTATAAAAGGCTCATAGCACCCCTGGCTCAAACCAGAACCCCACTTTCTGGCAGCCACGCCCCACCCTTCCACAGACACCTACGAAGTGCCGGTCCTGAACCTGGTGCTGGGGATACAACAGCCAACAAGGCAGACGTGGCCCTGGCCCTGGAGAACCCATGATCCGGCCCAGGAGACAGGCCGACCAGGCTCAGCACCAGCAAGCCATCCAGGCGGGCGGGGAAGGCCCTCGGGGGCTGGCACAGGGACCCGGACCCAGCCCAGGGGACCTGAGAGACTCCGAGGGGAGAGGGAGGCGGCCAGGGCGGGAAGGGGTTCCCCGGCAGGAGCAGCATGTTCAGGGGCGTGGGCTCGATCCCCAATGTGGGGCGTGCAGGAGGTTCTCTCTCATCATTGATGTTTCTATCTCGCCCTCTCCTTTCCTCTCTAGGAAATCAATAAAAATATATTTTAAAAATAAATAAATAAACCAGCGGTTCTCAGCCTGTGGATCGCGCCCCCTTTGGGGGTCGAACGACCCTTTCACAGGGGTTGCCTAAGACCATCGGAAAACACATATATAATTACATACTGTTTTTGTGATTAATCACTATGCTTTAATTATGTCCAATTTGTAACAATGAAATTGGGGGTCACCACAACATGAGGAACTGTATTAAAGGGCCGCGGCATGAGGAAGGTTGAGAACCGCTGAAATAAACTCTTGACCTCCCCCTGGTGGCCTGTCTTCCCGCCCATCCGGGTGCTGCTTCAGAAGTGGGTGCCCTCTTCCATCTCCCCTCTCCCAAGCCTCCCCCACTCGTCCTCCAACTATCAGGTGCTGCCTCCTCCTCCCACCAAGCAGCAAGCCCCCCTCCCTCCACCTCCGCCCACACCCCGTCCTCCCTTTCAGTCCCTGGGCGTGAAGGCCACCTGGCTCACCTTCCGGAGGACTAGCTCCGGCAGCTCCCCCTCCACATCCTCTGCTGTTCCATCTTTTAAAACAAAACTCTCCCTCGACCCCACATTCCACGTCCCACAGCTGTGGCCTCGTTTCTCTGCCCTCCTCCTCCACTGTCTACACTTCCTCCCTCCCATGCTCCTCCAACCCAAGACGGTCTGGCCCCACCTCTCCATCAAGGCCAAGGTCAGAGACACCACGGGCCACGGGGCCCAGTGCAGTGGCCCTTCCTGTCCTTCCGTATTCACTCGGCACGTCCAGCCCCTTCCGTCCCCACCAGGAAGCCCCTCCCCTGGACCCGCCTGGCTCGCTGGCCCCCTTCTCAGTACCTTCTCCCTCCTCCTTCATCCACACCCTCCCTAGTCTTCACAGCAACGCCTCGCAGTCAAACCTTCTTTATGCTCGTAATCCCAGGGCCACACCTCCAGCCCCTCAGCATCTTCTGAGCTGTCAGACTTATCCCCACAGTCCCCCCGAAACCAAGCCTTCTGCTCACCCTGCCAGGGCCAAGCCTCCCTCGTCGCTCCCTAGACCCCTCCAAGCCCCCAACTCCCAGCGACTCCACGTGTCCATCCAATCGTCGGTTCCTCACACAGCAGCCCAGGGAGCTTAGGAACATGTCAATCCGCGTCCTCACCATGGCCAAGTAGCAGGCCTGCCTCTCTCCCTGACCTCCTCCCCTGCGACCCTCCCCGTGCAGTTCCTTCTGCCCCCTGCACCTCGGCCAGGCAGCCAAGCAGGTCACCTTTGCGCTCCTCCACCGGCCAGGCTGTGCCCTGCCTCAGGGCCTTTGAACCGGCTGTGCCCCCGCCTGGCCTTCCTCCTCCCTGCCCCCCTCTCCCAGAGCAGCCCTTCCCTGACTACCCTTCACTCCTCACTTGACCTTGGCCACACTGGATCTGTCCTGTTTACTCCGGATCCCCACCACCTGGCACAGTGCATGGCACGTGTGAACATCGTGGGCTGAATCAGTAGCGAACGAGCTGAGACCTGGAGGTGGAGGACAGGTTTTCTAAGAGAACAGTCTTGGGGCAGAGGGAACAGCATGTACCAAAGCCCTGAGGTAGGAGGGAGCCTGTGGGCGGAGAAATGGGGAGGGATCTAGAAGGGCTGGGCTGGAAACAAAGGCTCCCACGCGAGGCAGAGGGAGCGCCAGGCAGGCTGGCCGGGCCAGGCCGCTGCTGTGGTTCTCCTTCCTGCTCCTGGGTCCCACAGGCTTGGGCTCGCCACGCCCAGCGTCACGTTCACGGGCGTCACCCGGCCTCTCTGCGCCTCAGTTTTCTCGTCTCTAGAACAGGACACGCCAGCCCTCCTGGAGCCTGGGCTGGCTGCGCCTGAGAAGCTGGCGGTGAAAGCGCTGTGTCAGCGGTAAAATGCAGCACGCACCTCGGGGACAAGCACTCCTGCCCGGAGTGGGTAAGACTCAAGGGGGTCAAAACAAAACAGACACAATTTGGGGGGATTTTTTTTCAACTTGGGGCACAGTGAGTAGAGGAGCTTTTTAAATTATTTGGGTCCCTATATTTGTCATCTTGCACAACTGTGACCAAAGACATCCCCCCTCTGAGGCCTTGGCACCGCCCACGTGCGGGGACTCCCAGCCAGCTGCACGGGGTGGGGGCCAGAGTGAACGCATCTGCTGTGACATGGAGACTGGGCAGCTGGGACCCAGACCGAGCCCACCGAGCCCACAGGACCCGGGAGCTGAGGCCCTCTGGCCAGGGCCGGCCCCAGGCACCCGTGCAACCAGTGTGGGTGCCCGGAGGTGGCTCAGGTCCCCTAGCCAACACCATCTGGCAGATGCCAGCACCCGCCTTTACAGAAGAAGCAGAGAAGCCTTGCCCAGCCACGGGCAGGCCTGGGCAGGATGCCGCCCAGTGCTCACTCTCTCCTGCCCCATCCCCCGCCCCCCCCCACCCATGGCCTGAGTGACCATGGCCTGCACAGCCCCTCTCCAGCCAAGTCCAAAAGACGCCCCCCCCTTCTCAGAGACGACAGAGGAAGACAACCAGAGCTCCCAGCTCTGCCACCAGCGCTGGGTGCCAACCTTGGGGACACGTGTCAGCTTGTCCCTCCAGTCCATGGTCCCCAAGCACACACCCCTCGAGGCCAGCATGGGGGCACCCTGTCCTCAACCCCAGGTCTCGGCCGGGCTGATCAGAGGAGCTACACACACTGGTCTCTGACTCCCGAGGGAGGAGAAGACAACAGCGATTCTCACCCAGTGCCCTGGTCACCCCCACTTCCCGCCGGTGGCACCCAGGCCCGCCTCACGCGCCCGGGAGAAGCGGGGCCCTTCGGCTGGACACGTGCCCCACACATTTATAACATCGTCCATCTCCTTTTGCCCGAAAGACAGATGCAGACTTAAAGCACAAGTGAGTTTTATTTTTCTGATAAGAGATGTACAACACAGGTTTTAATTTTCTTTCTGTTTTGGAGGCGAGCGTATTTCACAGCTCAGTGAGACAGGTGTTGTAAAAAGATGTTTGCAGTAAATTTTGATGGGGAGGCCTGACCCCAGACAAAGCTTCTGAGCTGGAGGAAGCAGGCTGCGCCAGAGCCATAAAGTGCAGCAGGCGAGCGGGAATTCAATGATGTGTTTTAAGAAGTCTTTGTGGCGCCCTGCAAGCCGCTGTTCAGAAAGGGGAGAACAGGCCGGCGCGGAGGGGGCTCCTCTTCCGGAGAAGGCCAGGTGGGCAGGGCTGGTAACGCCGGGCTCTGCCAACAGGGCAGCAGGGCCATTCATCACCGGGGCGCACCGTCCCCCAGCAGCGGGGTCTTGTCAAAGCTCGAAGCCCCGCGGGGCTTTCCTGCCCCTCGCCTCCCCCGAACCGGGAATGTGCCAAGGCGACTTCCTCCGAAGACAGATGGGAGAAGGCCCCCCACCCCCAGGTGTGCCCGGAAAACTTCCCAGCTCAGCAGTCAAATCACATAAATCATCCACTCTGGATGCGACGCCACAGGGTGGGACCGAGCCCCCGCCCCGCCAGCGCACACAGGCTGGAACACGAGTGCTTTCTTGAGCCCCCGGGGAGAGGAAACAGGACTCAGGACGTGCGGCTCAAGCTCCAGCGTCTGACCGCATGGCAGGGACAAGTGTACTCAAGCTCAGCGTCTCCGTGGGCAGAACACAGCAGAGAGGAGACAAGCCCCGGGGGGGCCGCTGGGGACCCTCCGTGCACCGTGTGCGCCGCTGTGTATACATGGTTTTGATGTCATCCCAGTGCAGCCTACAAAACCTGCAAGTCAGGGGTTGTTGGTCCTGTTTCACAGATGAGGAAACTGAGGCTCGGGAAGCATGGGAGCAGGTGCTGGGGTGGCCCAGGTCTGATGTCACCAATGCCTGTTCTCTTTCGCACACAGCTCTGCCCCCACTGCAGTCAGGAGGCCCCTCTCCTGGAGGCTGGGCCCTCCCGTGGTGACAGTCCCCAGATGCCCTCAGTGCCTGACCTTGAGTCCCTTCACACCCGACTGCCTCCCAGCACAACTGTTCCTACAATTTTCCAAGGAACAGCCACCACCTGAGGGGATCAGGAGGGGATTCATTTAGAGAGAGTAACCCTGGCCAGTGTCGTCAGATACTGCAGGGGTCTCCCCAAAAGACTGAACGTCTCCCCCTCAGGAAGACCCAGCCCGATCCGCCTCACTTACCTAGAGGGAGAATGGGCCCTGGGAAGCGGGCAGTTCCCTTGAGGGTAGAGAAAAGGCATCCCCAGAGCCAGGCAGAACCGGCCACCTGTCCAGAGGACTCACTGGGCCATGTGTGGGGCTGCGCATCCTGCACGCAGGCCTGAGCAGGCAGGTAACGCCGCACACAGACTGCAACACGGAACAAGCGCCAGGGAAGGGGCTCCTGGTGGGTCGGTCCCCCAAGGGAAGCTTGCCCAGCCTGCCCCGGGGCAGAGGGCTCGGCTTCCAAAATCATCCCACCAGCTCCCCAGTTAGAGAACATGCGCTGAGCGAACCTAAGACTAGGATTTGGCTTCCACATGGCTTCCCCACAGGGAGAGGAGGCTCCGTCCAGGCACCTGGGTTTCCACACCTCCTGCCATAATTCCCCACCTTGAGCTATACATCAACCTTCTGACCTATACATCAGTATCTTGTGAGTTTGGTTACTATGCACCAGGCTTTTTTAACTGCTTTTATTTAAAAAAAAAAAAGTTTATTGAGGAAAGGAAAGAAACATTGATATGAGAGCAAAACATTGATTGTAGTTTATTGACTTTTAGAGAGAAAGGAAGGGAGGAAAGAAACATTGATATGAGAGCAAAACATTGATTGGCTGCCTCCTGCACGCCACCTACAGGGGATCGATCCACAACCCAGGCATGTGCCCTGATAGGGAATCAAACCAGCAAGCTTTTGGTGCACAGGACGATGCCCAACCAACTGAGCCACACTGCCCAGGGCTGGGCACCAGTCTTTAAGAGAGGACCATCTCAGGCACCGATGGGCATTTGGAGGCCTGTGTAGGTATGTCCCCAAGAGAAGGGAGAACACATGTCCATCAAAGACATGTATGAGAATACTCAACACAGCTTCATTCCCAACACTGGCAGCCCACATGCCCGTCAACCGGAGGACGGGACACTAACTGTGGTAGATCCACACCACGGAGTATCAACAGCCGTGAAAAAAGAGCCAACTGTTGACACACCACTAATGAGGACGAATCGCAGATATGAAGTAAAAGGCGCTGGCACACTGTATGCCTCTGTGCATATGAAGGTCAAGAGACTACACCAGTGGTTCTCAACCTTCCTAATGCCGGGGCCCTTTAATACAGTTCCTCATGTTGTGGTGACCCCCAATTTCATTGTTACAAATTGAACATAATTAAAGCATAGTGATTCATCACAAAAACAATATGTAATTATTGTTTTTGTGATGGTCTTAGGCAACCCCTGTGAAAGGGTCCTTCGACGCCCAAAGGGGTCGCGACCCACAGGTTGAGAACTGCTGGACTAAATGAACCGATAGAAGAGTAACTAGCTTTAACGGGTATTGATTGGAAAGGGTCTCAAAGGAACCTTCTGGGGTGATGGCAATGTTCTACCTATCGATCAGCCTGAGGAGCACGGCTGGATACGGGTATGCAGGCGCTGACGATACACTGAAGGTCTGTGTACTTGGTCTACATCACTGCAGCTCTGCCCCGTGTAAACTGAATCTAACAAAGAAAAGGTGTGGGGTCTTCAAGGCCCAAAGCTGGGACCCCAACCAGAGGCAGGTCCAGCTGAGGCAGCACCCCCAGTGTGGTGGTCTTAAACACAGGCCCCTAATTCTTTGATCCTCTTCCCTTCCAAAGGGGGACCCTAATTTCCCTCCCTTGGAATGTGGGCTGGACTCCATGACTTGACCTACACCCTGGGATAAGGCAGAAGACACGCTGCTCGATCTGGAAAACCAGGTCACGAGGAGGCACTGTGGCTTCTGGCTTCCGGCTGGGTCTCCTCTCGCTCCCCGTCTTGGATCACCTGCTCTGGGGGAAGCCGGCTGCCATGTTGTAGGGACACTCAAGCAGCTCTGTGGAGGCACGGTGGTGAAGAACTGAGGCCTCTAGCCAACAGCCATTTCCTGTGAGTGAGCCACCTGGGAACGGCTCACTCCAGGCCTCAGCAAGTCGCCAGGCCTCCCGAGAACCCTGAGCCAGAACCACCCAGCTAAGCCACTCCCGCGCCCTGACCATCAGAGAGGGAGGTGCTTGCTGTTGAAGCCACTCACTGGTTACGCAGCAATAGGTACTAGAACACATGGAGGTCTCTGTGCTGCCATCTGACACCTGCTGGGGACTTGACACCTGGTGCTGGGGTACCTGGGACCAAGTGCCCTCCCCCCTCGCCCCGGACAGGGCACTGGAGCTCAGGCAGCCCCATCTGCCATAGTTTCTGACCTTTACTGGCACTGTCCCATTGGACGACCAAATTCTCTACCAGTTTCCTCCCCCAAAGTAGAAGCTCCGTGAGGACAGGGCCCTTCCCTGTCTCACTCGTGGCTCCATCCCCAGCACCAAACAGAGCTGCACATAGAGAGCACTCAGTAAAAGTGGACTGAATGAAGGAGTGGACATCCCAGCAGAGGGACAGAGACGCCGCAGGGGCCCGGGAATCCCTAGCCTGTCAGCTTCATGAGATCTGGAAGTTTTCAGGGGCACCAAGGAATGGGTGGTGGTAGGGAGCTGGATCCTAAAAACTGAGGCAGATCTGAGCCTGGTGCCTGGGCCCCTGGCCTCCCTAGCTCCTTCCTACCATCCTGGGTTACCGTTACTGTCCCCTGACAGAGAAGCCAGGCTCCCTGTGGGACAGTCCCCCTGCTGGGGGGGTCTCTGCTGTCCCCTGCCGGGGGACTTTGCCAGCCCCTGCTCCCTGCCCTGATCGGTGTTCTGGGGCCAGCGCTGAGGGCATGATAAGCACTTGTTGTGCTCAGAGAGCAGTCAAGTGCTTTCTGCGGGCGCTTTAAGATCCCAGCGCAGGCCAAGCGATTCGTGATGGGGGTAAATCATCTCAAACTCTACCTCCAATCCGGAGAGGACGCCCTCCCTACACCCCCAACCGTGGCCGCCCAAGGCCTGCCTTCTCAGCCTCATTGGCCAAAGCCCCTCCACGGGCGGGCGCAGCCAATGAGCTGCGTTCCCTACCCTTTTGAAAGGGGATCCAGCGGGGAATGGCCACCAGGGCCCAAGGAGCAGACCCTGAAGGGCAGGGGCAGCTGGAACTGGCATCTGGGCTATTTGGGGCTCTGCAGGTCAGGCTGCCTCCCTTCCTGGCTCTGTGCGGGAGGGGGGCAGGGGCGGGGGCAGAGTCCAGCTCTGGGACTCCTGCCCGTCCTGTGGGGGTGATGTCACTGTCCTCACAGACACAATGCCCCATCTCTGCCCTGTGTCCCCCAGGAATGGGGCAGGGACTGTTAACAAGTGGCAGGAGGCCAGGGATGAGGGCGAAAGGGCACCAAAGCACGTGCCCAGAGAGGCAGGCCTGACAGGGGAGGAGGTGGAGGTGGGACAGGCCTGCCCAGGGAAGCCACTCCTTGGGGTTATCTGATCCCACCAGGTGGGACACCAGCGGGAGGGCGACCCCCTCGGCCCATTCCCTGCCACTGTGCCCAACACGCCGCCACCTGAGGAGCCACACTGTGCAAAGCACGGGGAACCTGAGGTCAGCTCTGCCACCAGCTCCCAAGTGACCTTGGGCTATTCCGCTCAAGCACTGGGCCTCAGTTTCCCTCCTGCACAACGGAGCAAGGTGGTAGGTCCTGGATGACCTCTGGGGGTGCCCTGTGACCCATTCCAGTGGGGTACGGCCACCTCCTTCACTCCGCTCCTGACAGGGGACCTGGACCCAGTGGGGGTGAACTGGTTTGTGGGGCTGGGAACGCGGGGGGTGGGGGGAGGCGTGGCTGTGAACGGGGGAGTCCTGACCAGGGTATAGGGGGCCTCAACTTCCACCGGTCTCAGGAGGAAGAGCTGCTGGTGGGGTGCCGTCCAGCCGCGGAAGCCCACGTGGGGCGGCCCTCGCCCGCGTCCCCTCTGCTCACACTTACATTTTGCCTCCTTCCAGTCGGTGGAGGTGTTCAGGTCCACCTTCGCCGCCATGGCCAGGGGCGCCCAAGTGCGCACCCCGGCTCT